CCTCCCAGGAGCAAACTGTTATTATAACTAAATTAAAGAAAAATCATCCTAAGTCACCAACTGAAGGCTAGCTGAAAAGGAATAAACAAGAATTTACAGAAGAAGCCACATTGAAACTGGTAGGAAGGGCAGAGACACACACAGAAAAGCCTGGCTCTGCTCCACAGGTAAAGTGTAGTTCTCTCAGTTGTGAGGGATCCCCCCTCAGAAACATGGGGCCTAAACCCTAAGCTAGGCTCACAGCCCAAAACATCATTGCTGGGAAGAGGCTCTCCCATAACATCCAGCTGTGAAAAGCTGCAGGATTTCTGTCTGCCAGGGAGAGACAGAGTCCAGCTGTCAACACAGGCACCCTCTTAAAGGGCCAATGCACAAGATTTCGTTCACTCTGCCTAGGAAGGGCAGAGTGGACTAGACTTTTGTGAGGAAAATGGAGCTTGTGGAGAAAGCTGAAGGGAAAGCTGCCAGAATCCTTGTGCTGAGTCATTCTTCCATACCACAGATGCCATCTTTCTTGAGTGGAGCACTCCCCTTCATGTGGCATGGGGGGGGCAAGGTGTGGGAGAAATGAGCAATTGGACTCCCTCTCACCCCACATTGTGGAGTTTAGGCCCTGCCTTGAGTCAGCTGCCTTGGCCAAGGTGTAGAGGCCTAGGCAGACTCAGGGGGTGTCAGTGACTGAGTTGTCTGGCTTTGAGGTAGGGGCCATTCCTTCCACTTTCCCTGGGAACCTGACTGGCACTTCCTCCTCAATAGATCAGTTAAAACCACCCTCCCATGGTGGTAAGGGGGAGAGATCAACCAAAGGATTTGTATACATGCATATAAGCATAATCAATGGATGCAGACAACAGGGGATGAGGTTGAGGGTATGATTGGGCAGGTGGAGGAGGAATGGGGGGATAAGGACACATATGTAATACCTTAATCAATAAAGAAAAAAAATTAAAAATAAATAAAACCACCCTTCCAGCTTCCAGCAGACTCAACCTCCCTGCTCCAGAGGCCCCACCAGGCCCCAGCAGATTCTTAGTGGCTCCAACCTGTCAAGGTTGGAGCAAAATCTGAGACAGAGTCTTGTGACTCTGGAGTGAAGACTACACCCATCCCCTTCCCCTCCTGGGAGATCCACTAGCCCCATCCTCCCTACTCTGCCTGAGGCTTTTTAGAGACTAAGCCCAACAGGCAGCCAGCAGGGGTAGGCAGACAAGATGGATCTCAGGGTATCTTAGGACTTTTGCCAACCTGACCCTGGGCCCAGTGCTGAAACAAGCTGGTCTTGGTGTGCAGCTTGGTCCTTTCTGCCCTCACCCAAACCCAACAGAGACGATCATAAACTGGATCCCTTGTAACTCCAAACAGGCTGCCAAGGGCCAGGACAGACAGCATCTGACATTGGCCTACACCAGAGTCCCTCCCAAGAGGCCCAGGACCAATATACCCAGCGGCCAGCTTCCTACAACATCAAAACAGAATCCAATTAGCTTCCCAAAGTTGGCATGATGGTTGCTTTTTCTTCACATCCTCACCAACACGTATTATTTGTTGACTTGATAATAGCCATTCTGACTGGTGTGAGGTAGTATCTCATTATGGTTTTGATTTGCATTTCCCTGATGATTAGTGATGTTGAGCATCTTTTCATAAATCTGTTGGCCATCTATATGTCCTCTTTGGATAAATGTTTTTTCATGCCCTCTCCCCATTTTTTTTATCGTAGTGGATTTTTGTTGTTGTTATTGAGTTGCATGAGAATCTTATATATTTTGGATATCAACTCCTTATCAGTCATATCATTTGCAAATAAATTTTCCCAGTCAGTAGGTTATTTTTTGTTTGTTTGTTCGTTTTATTGAAGCTTTTGTTTTCATCACTATACTTTTGTTTAGTTTTTCTTTTGTTTTCCTTATTCAAAAGATATTACTCAGACTAATGTCAGATAGATTACTTCCTTTGTTTTTTCTTCTGTGAATTTTATGGTTTTAGGCCTTACATTTAAGTTGTTAGCCCATTTTTAGTTTATTTTGTTTATGATATAAGACAATGATCCAGTTACACTCTCTCTCTCTCTCTCTCTCTCTCTCTCTCTCTCTCTCTCTCTCGCATATAACTGTCCAGTTTTCTCAACACCACTTATTTAAAAGATAGTCATTACTTCAGGGTTTAGATTAGTTGACCTTTGTCATAGATTGGCTGGCATGCAAGTGAGCATTTACCTCTAGGATTATTATTCTGTTCCATTGACCTATGTGTCTATTTTTGTGTTAGCACAACACTATTTTGATTACTATAGGTTTGTAGTATAGTTTGAGATCAGGAAGATTGATACATCCAACTTTGTTCTTCTTTTTCAATATCGCTTTAGCTATTCAGAATCTTTTATGGTTCCATATAAATTTTGGATTACTTGTTCTAGTTTTGAGAAGAATGACACTGGTATTTTTATAGAACTTGCACTGAATCCATAAATAGTTTTCAGTAGTATGGTCATCTTAACAATATTAATTCTTTTTATCCAAGAACACTATATATCCTTCCATTTATTTGCATCCTCTTCAATTTTTTCTTCCAGGTCTTACAGTTTTGTAGAGGAATTTCACCTCTTTGGTTAAGTTTATTCCTATTTTATTCTTTTTTATGAAATTTTTATTCTTCATTTCTCCTTCTGATTATTGGTTATAAGTGTATCGGAACACCACAGATATTATTAATTTTGTATCCTGCTTCTTTACCAAATTTTAAAAAATATTTTTGTTGATTTTTGGCAAGAAAGGAAGTGAGAGGGATAGAGAAATAGAAACATTGATGAGAGAAATATTATCCATTGGCTGCTTCCTACACACCACTACTGGGGATTGTGCCCCAAGCCCATGCATGTGCCCTGATCAGAATCCAACTGATGACCTCCCAGTTCATGGGTCAGTTCTCAACACTGAGCCACAATGTCTGGGTTTTACCAAATTTTTTTATTAATTCTATTAATTATTTGATTAAGCCATCTTGTTTTTGGTATTTTGTTGTGGCAGTCCTAGGAAACTAATCTATAAATATATAAGGCTAATATGCTAAGCGTCTGACCGTTGGGACAATGATGTCAGGTAGCAATGCCCAGCTTCCTCTTCCTAGCAACTAGCCTCCTTACGGTTTCTTCAGCCCAGGAACACAATTGGCTTTATAGCCAGGTGGAAACATTTTATACTTTTTTTTCTTTTTCTTTTCTCATTAAACTGTTATTTTAATGGGTCTCAAAATTCTGTGACAGGTTTTTGGTCATGTTGTTTCCATTAAAAAGTACTGATTTTAAAAACTAATAACTTAAAAACTGCCACACATACAAAAGAACCAAATGGTCCACAAAACATTCTCCTTTCCTTCTGAAGGTTTTACGATGCATTGTAATCATTAACCAGTCTTTTACTATTAAACTTAAATGGCCAATTGAGACAAACAGTTCTGAGACCGTTCTTCCACCACTGATTAAGACTGGGGTGGCAGCTGTTGGAAATAATGTTCATTTAGCCTTCTGAGCTTTCTGGGCAGACTTGGTGACTTTGCCAGCTCCGGCTGCCTTCTTGTCCACTGCTTTGATGACACCCACAGCAACTGTCTGTCTCATATTACAAACAGCGAAATGGCCCAGAGGAGGGTAGTCAGAGAAGCTCTCAACACACATGGGCTTGCCAGGAATCATATCAACGATGGCAGCATCACACGATTTCAAAACTTGGGGCCATCTTCCAGCTTTTTCCCAGAATGGCGATCAATCTTCTCTTTCAGCTCAGCAAATTTCCAAGCATAGTGAGCTGTGTGACAATCCAGCACAGGTGCATATGCAGCACTGGTCTGGCGTGGGTGGTTCAGGATAATCACCTGAGCTGTGGAGCCAGCTGCTTCCATTGGTGGATCATTTTTTGCTGTCACCAGCCACATTGCCAAGGTGAACATCTTTGACAGACACGTTCTTGACGTTGAAGCCCACCTTGTCCCCAGGAACAGCTTCACTCACAGCTTCATGGTGCATTTCAACAGACTTTACTTCAGTTGTAACATTGACTGGAGTAAAGGTGACCACCATGGCGGGCTTGAGAACACCAGTCTCCACTCTGCCCACAGGGACAGTACCAATACCACCAATTTTGTAGACATCCTGGAGGGGCAGACGCAGGGGCTTGTCAGTTGGGCGTGTGTGTGTTTGACAAAATTGCACAGAACTAAACACACACACAAATGAATGCACAGGAAACTGACAAAATCCTAATATGGCTATGATTTGTGCCAGTGTCAATTTCCTCATTGTGACACTGTGCTAATTTCCAGTAAACACGGCTCCCGCAGGCATTAACAGGTGGCATGGGCTGCGATCCCCAGCAGGTGACGTGGCCATCTGCACCTGGGCAACACCTCCGGGGCCACCCACCAATGAGGTCCGTCCCCCCACCGTTAATTGGATCAGATTGGTGGGGGGAGCGCAGAGCCACACATCCACTAGCCCATGGCCTGGGAATGAAGGGAAACTTGGAAGGTGACGACAGGAGGAGACAGGCGCTGCGAGGTCAAGGACTGGAACCCAAGTCAGGTGTGAACGCCCGCCGGCCCCGAGTTTACTGGAAAGACCTCGCTTCCGGATGACTTCGCCCACCCCCTCTGCGTGGGGACCCGAGACCCACGGCGCTTTGGGAGTCCCGAGAGGCGCGGAGAAAAGGGGGGGCAGGAGTCCGGTCCTCCGCAGGGGACTGACCGGCACTGGGCCCCGCGCGGCCCCACGCACGGCGGCTGCCCGGGACCCCTGCGGCCGCCGGCGGCTCCCCGCGGAGCGGTGGGGACGCTGAGTCACACAGCTGTCACGCCCCTCGCCTCTCACCAGCCCTCCGGGGTCTAAAGTAAAAGCGAAAGCGAATGAGACTCGCGGGGCAGCCGGTCCCGAGAGTCGTGCCCGTCGCCTCCTCCCGGACCCCTGGGCACCTGGAGGCGCCGGCGGGGGCGCGGGCGGGGGTGAGGCCATGGCCCGCCCGCCGCTGCGGGGCCGCTGGGCCGGCGACCTCCCGGCGCTGCTGCTGCTGCTGCTGCTCCGGCCGCCGCGGACGCCGGGTAGGGAAGGGAGAGGGGCGCGCCTTTGGGGCGGCGGGCGGGGGCGGGGGCGGGGGCGCCGCGGAGGGACTGCCCTGAGCTCCCCACCTTCGGCGGCCGGGAGTGGGGGTGGGAGGGATAGGAAAGGGGGAAGGGCTGCCGGGGAGGGGGCGCGGCACCCGCGCGCCGGGAACACGTGGAGGGAGCGGTGGCGGGGACCAGAGCGCGGGTCCCCGCGCCCCGACCCTCTCCAAGGGAGGGAGCTGCGAGACCAGGCTTTTAACGGGACTTCTCCCCGATTTCCAAAGCAAAGGGGAAAACCCGGGGCTTGCCATGGGGTATCTGAGTTGGAGCTTTAACAGCAATTCCGAGAAACCGTGAGCGCGGTTCTCCGAGCCCCAGAAGGAAAGCGGTGCCCGTGTTGCAAAGCAGGCAGTCCCCCGCTGAGGTCCGGGAAGACGGCCCCGTCCGCACCCTCAGACAGAAAAGCAAATAACGCGCGTAGGATCGGCTAGGAACTGCGCCCCTGGGGAGAGGAAAGGCGTTGGGCAGACTGCACATCTGGGAACCTGGAAACAACTCCAAATTCTTAAGCGGCTGGGAACGGTGCCAGGTCACAGGACAGTGGGGCAGCAAGTGAAAGCGCTCCCATGCAAAGGCGAAGAAACGAAATTGTTGGTGATGGTTTGGTGTAGGTCGCATAGATGTAATCTCTGCGGGAAGAACCGAATGAGGGGCGGATACACTTTTCTCCTGGGAGGTAGAGAGGAGGAAGAAGAAATAATAGATCTGGATTTATCCACGTTGGCTCTTAATCTTTTTTAGTCTGGGAGCTCTTTGAGGATCTGATGAAAGCTAGGTACTCTCTTCCCAGAGGGGGGGGAAAAAGCATATACTTACAAAACTTGCATATGATTTTGGGGTCACGGACCCACTGAAAGGCATCCATGGACTCCCCAGGGATTAGTAAATCCATAATAGCTCTTTCTTACTTCCGTGTGTGTGTGTGTGTGTGTGTGTGTGTGTGTGTGTGTGTGTGTGTGTTTAAGGCAAGATTCCCAATCATTTACATCCAGTCAGTCAGTCAGACCAGTCTAGCCAGTACTTGATCAGAGCCATCCATCCTGGCTGGGTTGGTGTTAACTCCATAGCTCTGGGGATTCTATGAAGTTTTATTTTTGTAAGACTGTGCTTGGACTTTTCCCACATCTGAAATTGTGAGTTATATTGGTAATTTGTTCAAGTCCTCCCGACTGGCTAACCGGTGTCCCCTAAGCATGACCCCTAAGGAGATGAAGGAGACAGCCAGTGGACTGGGGCAACTCAGTTGCACAATGTGAAAGGAAGTGCAGCTTTAGTCAGAACGCAGCAAAGACGAGCTGTCAAAGTGCAGAGAGCAAAACTGCAATCAAGATTTTGAAAGCTCATCAATTACAACATTGCTCTTTAACCTCACAAGGTTCTTGCTGACGTCTGATAACTCCTCATGTTTCTTAGTTGTTGTTTTTTTTTTTTTTTACAGCTTTACTGAGGGATAATTAACGGTTAAACTGCATACATTTAGATTGAACGATTTGATAAATTTAAAGTTAAATGTATACACACATGAATCAATCACCGAGGATCAAGAGAATAAACATAATCATCATTTACCAGAAGTTTCCTCTTGTCCTTCATACTCCTTACCTCCCAAAGGGCTCTGTCACCCAGGCAGACAGCATCTGCTTTCTGTTATTTTGTTGTATCTTCTAGAATTTTATATAAATGCAACCATAGTATGTGCTCTTTCTTGTCTGGAATCTTTCTTTCATTGTAACTATTCTAAGAATCCATCTACACTGTAACTTGTATCAACAGTTCCTTTCTTTTTATTGCTGAGTACTATTCCATTGCACGGATATCACACAGTTTGTTTATTCATTAACTTGTTAATGGACATTTATGTTGTTTTGGTTTTGTGCTATTGCATATATTCACATGTAGGTTCTTGTGTGGACATAGGCATTTATTTCTCTTTAGTAGAGAAAATGACTAGGAATGGCTGGATCATATGACACATGATGTTTAATTTGTGAAAGAACTTGACAAATCATTTTTCAAAGTAATTCCACTAGTTTACATTCCCAATAGCAGTATTGATTTGGTTCAATTTCTTTTTGTTTTTTTATTTGTTTGTTTTGTATATAACTATCCAATTGTTCCTGAACCATTTGTTGAAAAGACTATTCTGCTGAATTGATATTATAACTTAAAAAAAAAAAAAAGCATCAGCCATTCCTTTATGTTTGGATTGATTGTAGTACACAAAAGACCAATATGTAAATATCAATTATAGTTCTATACATTAGCAAAAAGCAATTGGAAAATGACATTTAAAAAACGTATAATTTGCTATAGCACCAAAAGTGTGAAATACTTAGGGATAAATGTGACAAAAGACTAGAAAAGATCACCTGTACACTGAAACATACAAACTATTGCTGAAATAAATTTAAAGATCTAACAAATGGAGAAATATACCATGTTCATGGACTGGCCAAATCAATATCATTAAGGTAGCAATTCTCCACAAATCGAAATTCAAGCAGGCTTTATTGTAGAAATTAACAAACTGATTCCAAAATTTACATAAAAATGCAAAAGATGTCGTATAACTAAAAAAAATGAAAAAGAACGAAATTCAAAAAACAACACTTCTGATTTTGAGACTAATTATAAAGTTACAGTAATCAAGACAATGTGGTATTTGTAAAATGGATAAAGAGCTAGTAGAGCAGAAGATACCTTATATTTTTTAAGTAGAAGAGATTTCAAATTATTAAATTTGTTACTTGGTAGTATGATCCTGGTTATCCTATATGTTAGTAATGAAAGCCTATGCAAATTGTCCCCTCGACCAGGAGTTCAACTGTGAGTTCTACCAGGGGGCAGGGCCATCCAGCCAACTGAGGGAAGGGAGGCCCCTGCTGGCAGCTGGCAGCCACTAAGGGACCCTACCCATGCACGAATTTCATACACTGGGCCTCTAGTAAAGTACAAAGAGCAGCCCATTTTTTATCCCTAGGTGAGAAAATAATACAGTCTCATGCCGAAACCGGTTTGGCTCAATGCATAGAGCATCGGCTTGGGGACTGAAGGGTCCTGGGTTCGATTCCGGTCAAGGGCATGTACCTTGGTTGCGGGCATATCCCCAGTAGGGGGTGTGCAAGAGGCAGCTGATCGATGACTCTCTCTCATCGATGTTTCTAACTCTCTATCTCTCTCCCTTCCTCTCTGTACAAAATCAATAAAATATATTTAAAAAAAAATAATAATACAGTCTCAGGTCTGTAGCTGCTAGTTTATAGTGCTACTAGACAGCAAGTTGTCATCTGTCTATTCTTATTCAAAGGGCCTGATTGGAAATTCATCATCATGGGCAGGTCATTTGTTTAAAGTTGAATATCCCTGCTCACCAGAGCTGGTTTGTACATTAGTGCATTGGGGGTGGTTAGTGTATTGGTGGTTAGTGCATATGGGAGAACATATTCACCAATGATTCATCTGATAAGGGGTTAATCCCACAAATATATAAAGAACTAATACAACTTAATGCCAGGAAGACAAACAATCCAAAAATGGGCAAAGGACCTGAATAAATGCTTCTACAAAGAGGACATACTGATGGCCAATAGACATATGAAAAAATAAGCAACATCACTAATCATCAGAGAGATATAAATTAAAATGGCAATGAAGTATCACCTCACACCTACCAGAAGTGCTATTGAGAAGGTGGAAAAAATGGAACCCTAGTTGGTGGGAATGCAGTCTGGTGCAGCCATTGTGGAAAACAGTATGGAGTTTCCTAAAAAAAAATTAAAAATGGAACAGCCTTTTGACTCAGCAATCCCACTTCTGGGTACTATATATACTAAGAATCCTGAAACACCAATTAGAAAGAATATATGCACCCTTATGTTCATAGCAACATCTTTTACAATAGCCAAGATCTGGAAATAGCCCAAGTGCCCACAAATAGATGACTAGATATAAAAGCTGCATTACATTTACACAATGGAATACTATATACAAGGAAATCTTACTCTTTTTTAATATATATATATATATATATATATATATATATATATATATATATATATATTATTGATCTTTTACAGAGAGGAAGAGAGAGGGATAGAGAGTTAGAAACATCGATGAAAGAGAATCATCAATCAGCTGCCTCTTGCACACCCCCTACTGGGGATGTGCACGCAACCAAGGTACATGCCCTTGACCAGAATCGAACCTGGGACCTTTTGGTGCACAGGCTGATGTTCTATCCACTGAGCCAAACCGGTTTTGGCAGGAAATCATACTCTTTGTGGCAGCATGGATGGACCTGGAAGTTATTATGCTAAGCAAATTAAGCCAGTCAGAGAAAGACAAATACCATATGACCTCACTAATATAAGGAATCTAATGAACAAATAAATTGACAAACAAAATAGAACCAGAGGCATGGATAAATGGAACAGACTGACAAATGTCAGAGGGTAGAGGAAAGAGGGTGACTGGATAAAGGAAAGTGAAGGGATTAGCTAAAAAATATATATGCACAGCTCATGGACACAGACAATAGGGAGGGAATAGGATAGGACGGTGGAGTTAGGATAGAGGTAGGCAAAGTGGAAGGTGGAATAGGGGACATTTGTAACAGTGTCAACAATAAAAAATTTAAATTAAAAAAATTTAAACTATTTTTTCAAAACTATGGGGGTTTTGCCCAAACCTTTTATTATTTTATTTCAAATCAGTTTTATCTAGTTATGATTGCTTTGTGCTACTACTAATAGCAAAAAAGTGATGAAAACTTAAATGTACAAAAAATATAGGATTTGTTCAAATCAAACTAAATGTTCAGCAGTGGAGTACTGCATAAATACAATGGAGTTGCTTTAAAATAGTCTGCATCATATGATCATTTTTACTAGAAGATCTAGATACGGATTGTTTGTATCTGTGTCTTTGCCTTTCTTCGT